GCGAATAAATTTGCAATTACTGCTTTCGCACTTACCACAAAGTATCAACGTGTTCCTCAAGCAAAACAGTGCGACTGCTAGGCGTTGAACTAACTCAGTTGTTATCATATCTTCTTGAATAAAGAATAAGCGAATGGCCCAGATTTTTGGTTTGTAATATCTTCACACCCTATAGCTCCAGCTAATCAGCTAAAGGTGTAAATTGCATTACGTGTAGATATTTCCATTAATGTGGGAGAAATAGACGTCATCGCTCAGCCAAACTGCTACAACGTGTCTGCTTAAGCAAAATGTCCGTAGATGGCTGCGTTAAAGCTCAAAATGGAGAGTGGTTGAATAAACATATTATCACATATTTTTTGTAAAGCTGATCCGTTTCATTCTTTATTTAGCCTCTTTTTTAATGACACTTTTACAAATTTTCCCCTGAGCTACATATTACTTGCATGCAATGTGTTATTTTTCCAGTTCGTTCTCATGCATTAACTTCCCGTTGCAATGTAAGACCATATAGGACACAGAGAGCCAACAGAAACGAAAAGTAGATGTGAAAATCTCCTATTGAAGCGCCCAGAAGAGGAGAATGCGCCATTACCTACAAAACTTTTTGGTGATTTGACAATTTTCGCTCTTTCTTCTCTATCTGGCTCTTGCAAGAAGATTTGGAAGTTGGTTATGACATGAAGAGGCATTTCGAAATTCCCTATTCCTTCGTTAGACCAGTATGAGCGCCGGCCTTCGCAAATGCTGACTAGGCAACATTTTGTTTACAAATCTCTTTGCAAATGTTTTTGTGGTGTATGCATCCCAACTTTCACGTTACGCCAGATATTAAAATTTAAGCTTAGAACAAGCGATATTTGATAATTTAGCATAGAAAGGAAACAGTTATGAAACAGGCATCATTCAGTGGCAAAAAAAAGGGGGATGGTAGTAGGTGAAATGTTGTGGTACGCACCATCTTATATTGTCGTATTTCATCTTTTAAAAACCCAGAAGGCTCAATTATTTCAATTTAAAAAAGAAAAAGGCCCAACTGTCAGCATTGCTAGAGTTTTGAGCTCCGCAAAAAAGAAAAAAAGTATTGGTTTTTTCGCGCTCTCCTCGCTCCGGTAGCTCATAATCATGAGATGCGAATTCATAAACCAGATTCGCGCTCACCATCAAATGCAAAAGTTCTCGTAGAGGGAGAACACAAAGAAACCACGAAAGATGGAATCAGATCATAACTTTTCATGATTTCTCGACTGCATTTGAACCGAATATGCCGATGTCAGGTAATTTCTTCCTTCAAAGCCGATACCTGTTGCTAATCATCTAGAGCTGGTCGTCTGGTAAGGTAGGCTCCTGAGGTCAGGAATGAGTCTCTGGAACATAACTGACGTATCTGTTGTAATTATTTTTAGACCATTGAGTTTTAACTACCTCAGGGGAGGGGCTTAATTGTAAATGTGTACCTTTTTAATCTGATTTATTAATTTTCCTATTCATCTTCTTTTAAATAGCAACGGTACTACACTTTCGAAGTTGGATCTTTGCATTTTGCAACCGATTTCGTTGCTGATTAGCCAGCCAAGTCGCTCGAGGTTTGATAATTCCCTCAATTTTGTTTTTGTTGTCTTTGCCTATGCCTGCGCTGTTGTTGTTTGGTTTTGTTTAGGTTTAGTTTTGGCTTTTTGTTTTTTTTTGCTATTCGATGAACTTAAAAAAATAATTAAAAAAAACATTTCGTATGTATTGCCTGGTCCCAGATGTTTACTTTACTGCGTTTGCAAAGCGACTCCTCGTTTCTGTAAAGATATATAAGATATATATGTACTCTGGGGTATTACAACTTTTAAGGAAAACTTGATGTTAACATGAACAAGAATGAAATGTTTTGATATAGATAGTGCTTGTCAAAGATTAGGGGACATGGCGTAATACTACCATGCTCACTTGTTACGCATGTGCAAATCGTGCTATACCCGTATAAATACGCTTCCAGCCGTCTCAAATGCACCTTTCCGGTTCATTGACATACCTTAGCTTCACATTGTGTGACGTTGTATTGCCGTGAAACAGAAGGGAATGTCTTGTAATATGATGTGCTATTACAAAAGATGTTAATAAGTACCTGAAAGTTCAAAACTGAAATCAAACCCAAGCAATGTTGTGTTTGTATTTCCTGGATCATATGGCGCATGCTTGTTGCCACTATTGTCATCCTGCTTTTTATCTTTTATTCCGACAGATCATAAAGGGATCGTAAGGATATAAGGGTTACTGAATGTTTAGTTTGCAGGGTTTGTCTCCTGTTTTCTTTGGCGAAATATATTAAGAATGGGTAGCTGTGTTAGTTTCTGTTGCCATAACATTTTATTCCTTCGCACTATGTGCGGCGAAGGTTTCCCGCGGTCAGTGCTCTAGAGTTTCGTTGCTGTAGACAAATTACCCTAGTAAACCAAAAGCTACTTTTGGAAGAAAGAATCAGCTGTATCACAGGGCACAATAATTTTTCACCACGAAATCATCGGGTCAAACCGAATGGAAAACGAGTGATTCATCTGATTCAAGTTAATCTTAAACAGCGATTTTAATAGAGAAAAACCTCGTAAGTTTAAGTGCAGAATTTCCGTATAACACCTGCCATTTGGAGTGAACGAATTCAGTCCCTATTTGACAGCATAGCTTCATGAATAAATTAGTTTCACATGGACATCATAAAACTACTTAAAGATAAAATCCATGATGTTTGATATATATTTCAAAGTTATAATTAATTCATTTTTTTAATTTCACGGTGGTCATTCTAATCTTAATCAAAAGGAAGAGTTCCTGAGATGGATATTTTATTGGTAATAAATCCTTTCTTGCCCTGTACTGAATTTTTCACGATTTTTTCCTAAAAATGATACTTATTAGGAGTACTTAGTGATAATAGAACAGGTAGAGTATTGTCCGAAATTTTTAATGTAATAAAATGGTTTTGGTGATCACGGTGATGGCGTGATTGCAACATATATTGTTATGATCACCCTGCGTAAGATGATATAGTGTGCAATGCAGGGGGATCTCATGATATATTCGCACAAAAAAAGATACGAAATCAAAAAGAAGGAACTTGCTTTATCATCAGCAAGGATTTGACACTTAGACTGTAGTATTCACGTTTTGTATAAAACATGAATTTTTATTGATCGCTTATCGAGAGATAATAGGAGCAATAGCTTGACACGAGCTAGAACCAACAGCTGAGAACACTACCTATGATTACATCAGATATCATTAATAAATCAGTTGTGGCATCACTGAAAATGACAAGCAACTTTCGAAAATATTACAGCAAGATATTTTTGAGGGTCAAAGAATATTTTGCACGTTAACTTGACTCCCGTAAAAAAATTACCATTGATAAATTATAAATTGGATTTCGTTCAGGAGAAATCATAACCTTATCATCTCGCTTCTGTGTCGCAATTAAAACGACTTTCGCTTCTCAAGAAGCCGTTAAACAAGCCAATAAAAGAATTAATCGTAATTTCCTCGATTTTAACAAGTTAAAAAACCTATTTTCCACCAACTGACGTGCCAAGTTGTTATCGTACAGGGTTATTGAGTATTATCAATTTAGTTGATAACGTAAATTTGACACCATAAAGAGTTTTTAAAAGCTGACGTTTCGAGCGTTAGCCCTTCGTCATAGCACTGTTACCAGACTGTTCAATAAGCCAATCACATTAAAAGTTGTAGTTTAAATCAATCAGTTATATCAAACAGTTGAACAATTTACGCCTCCTTTGTCAGTCTTTTAATGTAAATTTCTCTTTCTTTCATAACTTGGCTACTCACTCTTATGATTACAGACCGAATTGGACTCCACTCAGTTCTTTCACCGTTTCCAAACTAATTATTACAGATAATAATTATTTAACTAACTATAAATATGACTAAACTACGGTTGCATTGGGGTGCAAGTATCATCATTTCAACGTGCCAAAAATTGCGCATAGTTTTTTCCCGATAGTTCTAATGACAGTTTATTTCAACATTGGAGACTTGCTTTAGCAACAAAAGGATAAAAAACGACAAAACGTGACACTGAATTTTCAAGAAAGTGAGTATTAAGGACACTAGCCAGAAGGCTCATTTTTATTGAATGACTATTGATTAGTTCACTAATTTCAGAGTGATCTTAGATACGTACATAGTTACAATGTTTATCGGTTTTTTCTGTATTTCTATTGGTTTTGTAATCGGACCTTTCGGCGTCACAACGCAGATATAAAAGATTAGTTTAGCGTCCCTTTAATCAGCTCTTCTTAAGTTTTGAGTTGTCTTGACAAACTTTCGCTCTTTCTCCTTTTCTCAACCTTTGGCACAAGCGGGGCCAATATGTGAGTACTTTTGTAACTTTGTTTTTTCTAGTCTACCTTTTCAGTGTTGGGCGATAATATACGAACAGATATTCCGTTGTATTGCAGTATTCGAGATTGATTTAAGATTTAAAGGCCAAAATTGTACCAAATGCAAGTGAAAGCCCACCATCTAGATAAGAACAATGGGCTGTTATCCAGCCTCCTAAAATTCTTGTAATTTGTATCGAAACTTTTTTACTTTGTACTGTTTTATTTCCATTGCTCTTTGTTGTTTTTAATCTCTTTATCGACGTTTAGGCCCAGTTCTTTACATGCGATTCTTTGATTATGCATTCCGCGACATTTCATTCTATTGATAGAGCTTCGTTGCATTGTTGATTCAGTTTACGATCGATAGATTGATTGATTGTGCAATTGATCGTGATTTTTCGTCGCTGATTGTGGTTCGTGGTTGATTGCTTTTCAAGAATAAAGGTTCGTGCAAACAGTCAACTTTGGTTTGTTATCTCGATCTGTAAAATAGTCCCTAACACCTCGTTAACCGCGTTTTGGAGCGACACCCCTTGGAACTTGAGTCTCTAGATTTTTTGGTCGCCGCAAACGCTAAAATGACAACTGTTTAGTTACCTTTTGTATTTAGCCTTAACGAACAAAAACCCTCCAGAAGTCACCTGTGAACAATCCAAAATATTCTGCATCATTGTAGATGAAGTCGTCGCATTCCCATCTTGAGCTCCCTTTTAAAAACCAGTGATATTTTCCGGGGACCTGAGCAACGAATGGATTTCTCTTTTTTCCTTTAAAAGAGTATCCCCACTGTTTATTACCCCATTGATTACAATCAGCAGCTAACCTCGAGTTGTCATCATTCATCCTAAGAAACGAGCCACACGCTTTCGGATTGGCATCTGTTTGACCACTGAAGTATTGTACTACTGCTTCACCACTGCTGTTAGCAGCCGTGGTCAAATGAAAAGTACGTCCCTTGTTTTTGCTGCAGTGGAATCTCAACTGAGTGAAAGACAATTGTGTTCTCAGTTCCTTCATGCCATCTGTCGTGAGTAACAACGACTTCTTGTGACAATTGCTTATTTTATGGTATGATGATTCCTCTGAAAACTGTAGCGAGGACAGATTGCCGACGACAACGTTGGAGACCAGAAGCCAACCTCCTGGAAAAAAGAAATAAAATGAAATGAAATTCTTTATTTTGCAAAATAATATTGCATTTCATTAATTATAGAGGGACAGTTTGCTTCCCCTCATCCCCTCCCTCTTTACTGCAATGCTGCTTTTTAACTTTGCATTTTCTATTACCTCGTTTTGGACCTTTCGCCATGTAGTATCTGTCATTGTTCTTGACAAAGTCCTCTGGTCTAGCCTCTTTGGTTCGGTTGCTTAACTCACATATTGCAATGAACATAACGACGTTGTAGCGTTGACATTTGACTTCAGCAAGACAAGCCTCTCTGCATTCCGGAGTACCCGGTGCAGTCTTGAATGACTTGTAAGTGTGGCCCTTGAGCATCATTTGGTAAATGGAGTATAGGTCGCCGCCAGCTCCACACTGCTGACTGGCATTGTCACAAGACAGTTGAGAAATGAAAAACAGCACTATTAAAAAGGAAGCATGTTGACCAGCCATGAGAAGCAGATCAGATTTATGACACCTGCAAAAACAAGATGAACATCGTTTATTGGTAATGCTTGAGTTAAAGACAATTTTGGGGAAAAATTCCTTAATAGGTTATTGAAGAAAAATGAAATTTTGTCGCTTTAAAATCTGCCTTTCCTCCCTCTCTTTTTGAGGTTTTGGTCTTTTCTAATCAGTTTGCGGGGAAAAAAACGAGAAACTACGTGAAAACGTCAGTTACTTTTGAGAGCTTGTAAAAAACTTTAAGCACATAGGTAATAACATGATTGTGAGTGCAATTTGCTACAAATAAGCACGAGTATTTTTTTTTCTATGACAACAAAACTTCTGAAGCCTTCTTCTCATTTCTTGAAATTAGAGGACTCACCTGTTCCGTCATCCATTCACAATCGTCTTTTAAAAATTCGGCGACGAGAAAATGCTACCTTTATAGGAATTTGGGTTTCGTACATAAGAAAAGATAGTTCATAATTGTACATTGTAACGTCCGTTGAGAACTTTAGTCTCTGTAGTTTCCTTTCATTTTAGGGCTTATTAACCTTTTTCAGGAAAAAGAGATCTGCAATTGAGGAGACTCGGGTTTTGGCTCACCTTTTTCAGACGTACCTCAATTTTAACTTGAAAAAGAGATTATATAGTAAACTACGGAAAAGTTATACACATACCTGGATGAAAGTACTCGTTGTTTCCTAGACAGACTCCGACTGGTCTTCTCTTGAGGTGTGAAGCACTTTTGTTCAGAGCAGGTTGCCAACGGCTAACTGAAGCTGGAAGGTTGTTTAAAGATAATTATAGATAATAATTAATTTGCCCCTAGCTATCCTTAATTCATTACATTGGTGCATCTCTGTTGGATCACAGGGATGCTATGGTAGACAATTAAAGTTTTCTCCTACTGAACGTTGTTGTGTTTTATGACCCATTGGAGCTGAATTGATTTTTGTGAGGGAATTATATCACACCGGGGACAAACTCTTAGTTGATAAATAGCCATCGTTCGTCTTCCTTTGTTGGCTCAGAGGGAATCTATGGGAGAAGGCTGACTTTTGGGTTATTTTATTTTTCAGTATAGACGTTGTTGTAATTAACTTTGATAAACTTGGTAAGGTTGCTAGCAAGTGGAATTCAAATCCCGATTTAGACGTAGACACGTGAAAAACTGACTCTTGCATTTTCAATCATGCGCCCGATGGAAAGGAGAAGCGTGGTATCCGTGTCGCAATTATGAGAAACTTATTGTGAGCTTTTCATTTCAGTGAAATAAAATGATTACTTCTCTTCTACGTTTACCACAGCAGGTAGACAAAACAGTAAAGAAAGAAGTTATTGGCTTGACTCAGTGCTATTGTCTCGGGATATTAACTGAAGCTGGTTATATCTTCTTGTTTGTTAATTACGATAGAGCTCTGAGACCCCAGAGGGATAATTTGTGATGTCATGCTGTCCGCCTGGCTAGAAACTCATCAATCGTTTGTTTTATCGGAACATAAAACTCACGATATTTTTGAAGAAATATATACATAAAAATAATAAATGTACTTTTAAAAAAATCGTTCATCGTGTAAAAAGATTCACCTTTGGGCGACAAAACATTAAAAACTAAAGAGAAAAAGAAAAAAGAAATCAAAAGAGAAAAACGTTTGGTTCAACCTAAGTTTTGCAAATTTAAGGAGGCTCTCGACTGTAGGGAGTTTCTAATCATCATATCGATCCATCAAGGAGTATTTTTAGTAGAAACGTAACTATTTAAGTCACAAGGAGTACATCCGAAATAAAGGCTGTAAGGGCGACAGGCATAAAGGCGACAGCTATCACAATCGAGACTTTCTTGAATTTGGGTGTTTTGCTATTGTGACACTCAGATACCGATGTAGCTTATGTTGTAATCTTGTCGTTTTATTCTATACTCGCGTGCTTTGCGCCTTCTGGAGGACAAAAGATGTTTTCCAAAGTCATTTTACTTGCAACGGCAGGGTCAGCAACTAATGTGCTGAAAATCTCTCAAATAATTCTCATAAATGATTCATCATTTCAATGTTATTTTGGACGAATGGATTAAAACTTTTTGAAATGGCTCGACTTTCATTTCTTTCTGTTGGTTTTGCTACAAGAGTAACTTTTGGAAAACATCTGAGGCGATATAATATAAAAACTTTCCCAATTTACTTTTAAAAAATCTCGGGCATTTTGAACACCTGCCAGTTTGAGTGGACAAATTCAGTCCCTATTTGACAACATAGCTTTCTGAATAAATTAGTTTCACAAGGATATTTATATATAAATATAAAATCCATGACGTTCGAAATATTTTTCAAAGTTAGAATTCATTCTTTTTTTTAATTTTACGGTGGTTATTGTAATCTTGTAACATTTATCCATCGTTCTTCGATGAAATACTCCAGTTAACTCATCAATTGTTACAAAATGAAGAGTTCCGGCGACGAATATATTTATCAGTGATAAATCCTTAATCCTTTAATGAACGCTCATCGAGAGATAATAAGAGCACTAGCTAGACACGATTTAGAACTAGTAGTTCTAACTAAAAACGGCAAAACGTGACACTGATCTTGGTCAGCCGTTGATATTTTCCAACTACTAGTTGTATTTGGCCTTAACAAACAAAAACCCTCCAGAAGTCACTTGCAGACAATCCAAAATATTCTGCATCATTGAAGGTGTAGTCGTCACATTCCCATCTTGAGTTCCCATACAAATTCCAGATATATTTCCAAGGGACAAAAGCAACGATTCGATATCTGTGGATATTACTACCCCACTGATTACAATCAGCAGCTAACTTCGAGTTGTCATCCTTCATTCGCACAAACAAGCCACATGCTTTCGGATTGCCATCTGTCTGACCACTGAAGTATTGTACTACTGCTTCACCACTGCTGTTAGCAGCCATTGTCAAATGGAGAGTACGTCCCTTGTTTTTGCTACAATGGAATCTCAACTGAGTGAAGACGAATATGTTCTCAGTACCTTCATGGCATCTGCCGTGAGTAACAACGACCTGTTGTGACAATTGCCTATTTCATGGTTTGATGATTTGTTTGAATACCGTAGCGAGGATAGATTGCCGACGACAACGTTGGAGACCAGAAGCCAACCTCCTGGAAAAAAAGAAATGAAATTAAATGAAATTAAATTCTTGATCAAGCATCAAACTCCATTTATTATAGAAGGGCAATTTGTGCAGAAGTAAAAAACACCGTTAGCGTTATCAGTTTTTCTTAAACATCAATTCCTTACCTCCATCGGTTGTCATATCACAGTAGACCTTTGAAAGGCTTCTGTTATTCTTAAGAGCGATCCCGTCTTTAAGATGGGAAATTGTGTTCCGAATTTCCTCACAAGAATAACCTAAAGAAGGAAATGCGGTATTTTCCTAAATGAAAGGCATAATCTTCCCACGAATGTGAGTTAACTGATTGAACAGAGCCAGAGAAAGACTATTTGGTAATAATTGTTAAGATGCTGCTCTTCGTTTGTAGAGAAATATTCTTTCGGACTATACATGTACATGATAAGGGAAGGCAGTCGCCATTTCCCACTTGTTGTTTTTCCTTGAGTTTCTTTTAATTCTAGAATTCCTTGACCAGAAACGAAACGCATCCTGATTGGTTTTAGGTAAGTATGTGTGACAATATTAGTCACGAGCGATAAAATGATGATTTTTGTTCGAAAGTGCATAATTCTTGCGCAATTTGTGGAACAATTAAACAAAGAAATACTCCACTAGTGTAGTAGTCAAAATGCACAATCGTAAGCAGTAATTTCTAGCTTATCCCTCTAACAACGTATCCACACAAAGTGGTTTACATCCTTACTTGTACTTATGCAGCTGTTTCTTCCGTCTCCAATTAATCCTGGTCTGCATGTGCAGTTGTAGGAACCCACAGTGTTATCACAAATGGTCTTGGTATCACAACCATGTAGACCTTCCACACATTCATTGATATCTGTGAATAAGCATATCTTATATTAATTAAGCATCCCTCATCTTTTTTGTTTGACATGCTTCTAAAACTTAGGGAAGATTTTAACAAAAGGCGAACCTTTTTCACAATATTTTCCTGTCCAGCCAGATGAGTTACACACACACGTGTAGTTCGTCTCACGGTTCACACACTTTGCATCGTTTTGACACTGGTGCTTGACGCAGTAGTCTGAAAGGGAGAAAGTAGGGAGAAAGAAAATCGATAAAGAGAAGGACTCTTATGAGCACCAAAAATATTTCTTTTATTAACCTTCGGTCTTCATATCACAGCGAGCTAAAATAGACTTGCCAGATCTATTAGAGTCCAGCCAATAATCAATACTCTCTGCCTGTCCTCCTTAACTTGCCTTGATCTCCTTACACGACTCAGCAAATCACGAATTGATCCAAGGGGAACTGCAATTAAAATAGATATATGCATTTTTTTTAGAACGAAAAGCAGCGTCAGGGTATCATACCATTTGTTTGTGTCGCCTTTAAAAAATTGTGAAGATTTCTAGGGATTTAGTGTATGATCAGTATTCTATCAAGGTACCTCTAAAAGTGAGTGTTCCCCCCCCTTCCCCCCGTCTTTACCTAAGTAGTACTTTTTAATCTTTGCATTTTCTATCACCTCGTTTTGGACCTTTCGCCATGTAATATCTGTCCTTGTTCTTGACAAAGTCCTCTGGTCTGGCCTCCTTAGTTTGGTTGTTTAACTCGCATATTGCGGTGAACATAGCGACGTTGTAGCTTCGACATCTGACATCAGCGAGACAAGCGTCTCTGCATTCCAGGTGTGGCCCTTGAGCATCATTTGGTAAATGGAGTACAGATCGCTGCCGGCTCACAATACTGACCGGCATTGTCACAGAACAGTTGAGAAATAAATAACAGCACGATAAAAAAAAAAAGAAGCTTGTCGACCAGCTACGAGAAGCATATCAGTTTTATGACACGTGCGAAATCAAGATGAACATTGTTTATTGATAATGTTTGAGTTAAGGACATTTTTGGGAAGAAATTCCGTAATAGGTTATTGAAGAAAAACGAAATTTGGAGCTTTAAAATCTGTCTTTCCTCCCTCTCCTTTTGTAGTCTTAATCTTTACTGATCAGTCTGCGGGAAATATGAGAAACTGCGTGAAAACGTCAGTTATTTTTGACAGCTTGTAAAAGACTTAAAGTATAGGTAATAACATGATTTCAAGTGTAATCTGGTGTAAATGAGCACGGATACATTTTTCTTTGACAACAAAAATTGCTTAAGCCTGAGAGGCGAGTACAATTTGTAGTCGTAAAACATTTAAGTCTTTCAAAATGCGGTTACGAGAAAATGCTACTTTTCTAGGAAATTGGGCTTCGCACATAAGTTAAGATCGTTAATGATTGTACAATG